AGCCAAAACCTACTTCGCAACTTAAAACCAAACTTCCATGAAGCTCCTCTTGCCAAATCCAGAGGCAGAAGGGGGAGGGGAGGTCATACAAAGCCATCTACAGGGTTGTTTTCTTCCTTTCCCTTGACCACCCTCCAGGCCATCCCGCCTGCCTCCGTCTCTGCTGGAAAGAGCTGGCGAGGGCACAGACAGAGCAAAGCCACACTTGGGTCAACTTCGTTTCGCTAACTCAGATTTCTTTCACTCGATCAAAAAGGAGGAAGCTGACTGAACACTCACATTCTCGCGGCTCAGCCGCCAGCCTGGCCTCCTGTGTCGTCTCTCTGCAGAGGATGAGGAGCCCCTGGAACACACTGGGTCTGGGGAGGCACTTTTTCTGCGGTCACAGCAGGGATTCGCCATGATGAGACTTCCATCTCCAAACCGAGCCCTGATTTGGAAAAAGAGTTTTCTCCTCTTCCTCTTCTCGCTTCCCATCTCCAAAGGGGCACCAGCCTGTAAGACAGGTACAAACACAAAAGGTAAGTTTCATCTACGTCTCCTTTGTACTAAAACACAACCTGACGGTCAGCTTTACACTGATCGTTCCTGAATAAGATTTTCTCTGCTTCTACAGCCTAAGTAGTGAAGTCTTTTTCATTAACCTGCTGTTTCAATGACATGAATGCTTGTGGAAGCATCTTTCCTGAGACTCAGACAGATGAGAGATTGGGTTGTTTCATAATGAAATCTTTGTGGTTTTTTCATTGGAAAGTCAATGCACACCCACTGCGAAAATACCAGCAGCTACATGCACAATATATTGATCAGGAGGCTGTTTATTATTACAGGGCCAGACTCGGGGTCCCGCGCCTCCCTGCTGGCTTGGCAACTTGAGTTCCATCCCCAGCCAGGGGGTGACCCACATGGCGCAGCAGACCTCTCCCATCTGTCTTGCCCGCTGCTCCCCTCAGCAGTGGATTTCAATTACTTGCCTGTTCTGCTCCCCACTGTCTCTGGTGAATCCTCTCACCCCCCACACCTCTGGCCTGTATCCTAATTCTAAGCCAAAAAAAAAAAAAAGCTAGACAGGTCCTAAGCTGGTAGGACCTTTTCCAGCCAGCAACCTAGACACACTACTCCACCACTTTAATTTCTCTCCTCTTTGAAGTCGGGATAAGAAAAGCACCCGGGGAGGGTGTGGAGCCTGAGTGCCTGGCGCTGGGGCCATCCATGAAGCTGCCAAATGTGTTACACATAAAACACGAACCTCCTGTCACATGACCTCCAAACCCCTCTGCTTCCAGAAGGAGCCACAATTAACAGTCATCCCTTATCTAACAGTATAGGGACAAACTCTTCCTCACTTGTCTTTCTTTTTTATTTTAAGTTCACCCTATAACACAGAAATGTTTCTATGTGGTAGCAGTGGATTTAGTTCCTTCTTTGCAACAGCTAGCTAGCATTTCACAATAGGACTCACCATAATTTATTCAACCATCCCCTTCCTCATTCTTTCATTTCAAAAAATCATATGAACCACGCTGCCATGAGTATGCCTGGACAAACCTCCTTTGCGGAATCATGAGCACGAAGGCATCACTGTACGAGAAAACACTAGCAGTGAAATTGTGGGGAAAAGGCCACAGCCCTTTGGCTTCTTACCGATGTTGTGAAACTGGCCTCTCCACACACGGAACCTGCCCTCAGTCCACCAGCAGTGACCGCTCCGGGGGGAGGGCGAGGCCCATCCCTCTCCCCCAGACCACCCATCCAGTTTTAAACGTGTGTCATTCAGATGAGTACGGAAGATCTCTTGTTCTCATTTGCAGTTGCTTGTCCTGTGTATAGCTGGGCATCGTCTTTCCCGTTGATGGTCCAGGAAAGCCGCAGCATCCCTGGGGGTTGGGGGGTTCGGGGTGGGGGGATCTTGGGGATGGCTGCTTCTGGTGAAACTGAGCTTGCATGGGGCTGAAATCAGGTCAAACGTTCAGATCAAAGATAGGGCGGGGGCTTGAGAACATTTCTGGGGCGTCTATATCCCCCCTCCACTGAAGGCATCCTCTGGCCTCCAGGACTGCAGATGGGTATCTGCCTCTCCCACTGGGGGTTTCCTATTCATAATTACTTGTTCTGCTCTCAGTTGCTTTATTTCTCACTGATTTGTATATATAACAAGAATCTTTTCTCTGCACTGATGCTTGAAGCATTTTCTTCTAGACTGTCTCTTAACCTTGCCATAGAGAAATGTTAAGGTCATCAAATTTTTTTGTAAATGTTAAGGTCATCAAATTTTTCCAAGCTTTTCTGTATGGTTCCTAATTTCTTTATGACGACTAATTCCAAATAGCTTACCTGGAAGAGCTTTTTCCTACCAAAGAATATAAAATATTTCCCAAAACTCTTCTTAATTTTTATGTTACTTTTTTATATTAGGCTTTCTAATGAAGGATATTTTCTTCCCTTTTTTTTTTTTTGAGGTTAAAATTTTTTTTTATTACGAAAGTTTATTTTTACATCCCCTTGGTTTTTTTAAATAGTGAAAACACACACACACAGACACACACACACACACACACTAGGTCCCAAGAAATACAGCAATCATATCAAAGGGCCTCAGGGTTTGAGATACTTCCTGTGGCCAAGGCTATGGGGCAATAAAAACTACAATAAATAAAAACTGCAAACCCACCTAAATTGCATAATGATCCTTAAGCAATAATAATAAAAATAACAGCAATATAAGGAAACTATCTCACTGTTGTTTTAGAAAATCAACTCATTTTCAAGACTGGCCCAGAAAGGGGAAATACCAAGCATTTCTCTTGCCTTTTTCTGCAAATTAAACCTCAATGTAGCAAAGAAAAGCTTCTCTAAATAACTATTGCACAATAAATGAAGAAGGAATGGTAGAATCAATAGATCATGCCTTTGCAACTCCCAGTGAAATGACGCGTGTGAGAGCTTACTAACGGGCATACCAGGTGCTAAGTGCCTCTCACTGAATCACATCTACCCCATGCTACAGTCTTGCTGTGAAAGGTGCCCTGCTTCCAGATGGGGACCCGAGCGTGGCTCTTGGGGATGAGCGCCCCAGAGTCTAAACCATGGAAGACTCTATAGAGCAACTTGTCTTCAGCAAATAAGTTGCACAGGAGGGAAAGAGACAAAGGTGAGATATCTATAGATTTAAAAAGACTTAACAAACACAGTAATTAACCATAAGGGGCTGTTTTGAATCCTAATTCAAGCAAAAAAAAGTATTTCAAAAATCAGACAGGAAAATTTGAACACTAGATATTTGATACGTTAAAAATATTGTTAAATTGGCCCTCCCTGGTGGCGCAGCGGGTTAAAGCACAGCACTGAGAATCTAAAGCCACTTCCGCATGAGTTCGATTCCCGCCTGCCCCGGAGGTGACCACATGGCATGGCAGACCTCTCCTGACCCGCCCGCTGCTCCCCTCAGCCGTGTACTTCGATCTGCCTGTTCTGCTCCCCACTCTGTCTCTGGTGAAGCCTCTCACCGCCCCTGAGCCTCTGGCCTGTACCCCAGTTCTGTATGCACAAATAAATAAATCTTAAAAAATATATATTGTTAAATTACAATTGTAGCAGTTTAGGGCCTCCCTGGTGGACAAGGGGTTAAGTCTCAGCTCTATCACTGCTACAGCCTAAGTTGGATCCCTGGCTGGGGGGTGACCCACATGGCGCAGCAGACCTGTCCTGCCTCCCCGCTGCTCCCCTCAGCAGTGTATTTCAGTCAGTCTGCCTATTCTGCTCCCCACCCTGTCTCTGGTGAAGCCTCTCACTCCCACACTTCTTCTGTGCATAAATAAATAAATAAATCTTTAAAATACACATACACACACACTTGTAGCAGTGTGATCTATAACCCCTACAAAGAGATAGAGCATTGCAAACCAACATTACCTCAAAGAAGATAGTTGGAAAAAATATTGCTAATTTTGGGGAGAGGGTAATGGCATTGGGCCCTGTCTTGTAGAGACAGAAACTACCAGGTCCTCCAGGCAGAGATTGCCAGGGACACATGTGTGGTTAAATCAACTTGAGTTTTGGGGGGAAATGCCTGGCTGGGACCAGAGGACGGACGCCTCATTGAGAGAGTGCTAGAAAGGACCTTGGGGGAGATGTGGACTTGGGTTAAGTGATTTGGGGTAAGAGTCAAAGCAACAGAATTTACTGCTTGAATTCTGTTAGGAGGGGGGAATAAAGATGGGGTATGGTAATAACTCTTAACAGGCAAGGAAGTTAGAGCAAGTCTAAAGCACTCACTCCCAAAGAAACAGCAGTCACTTGTATTGGCCAACTGAGGGAGACACTTGGCCATTTCGGAATTTGGACGATGGCAATGTCTGTCTCTGTGTTCAGGCGTGATTGGGAAGTGGTCTTGTTCTTTTTCGCAACCCAGCATAGCTTGTCTGACACGGCTTGTCGACATGGGTGCTCCAGCTGTGAGTGACAGGTCAGTTCCTGGCCAGGCCAGCCCCCAGCAATCAGGGACTGCTCTTCTGTCTCGACACTGTGACTTACGGATGAAATAATTGGCTGACTGGGCTTTGCTTCAGGGCAGTGGAAAGGGATGTGGGTGAATGAAGCAGAGTTACCCCAAGTTGATAATTGTGGAAGCTGGGTGATGGGCCCATGGGGATGACTATGGTCTTTTTTCCACTATTATGTCTGAAATTTAAAGAAAATTTCAATAGACAAAAAAGGTCGTCACTTTTGGCCACAGCACCTGGAAAGTTAATGTTTCTAACTCAGTATGACCAGTCTTAGGGGAGGCCCCCTCTGGCTCTCGCCGGTCACCAGCACAAAGGGGCTTTCAGGCCCTCGCCTCACCCTGGGAGAGCCCTCCTGCACTTTCCTCACACACTGGTCAATCTGGCTGAGGGGGCAAGCGATGCCCTTCTTAGGAAAAGTAGCCAAGAATGGTGTACTTTCACCATTCAATCCACAACACAAGGCCAGATGACCATTGAGTTATTCTTAGGAATGTTAATAAAGACTTTTTCTTGTGTTGTTTGCTTTCCAGAATTTTCTTCTCCAAAATTGAACTCAAAAATGAATACAGTCACGAGGGGTCAAAGCATCTCTCTGATTTGTTCCATCCAGAACAGTTCACTGCAGATCAAGTATCTTTTGTTTCGGAACCAGACGCTTCTGCACACCCAGCACAGAACAGGTGAACCCATGGTGGTTAACCTGACTGTCACGGAAGCCCGTGATTTGGGCCCGTACAAATGCAAAGCCATGGTTGCCAACTGTTCGAAATACAGCCATGAGTTCAACTTCACCTTTGTCAGTAAGTAGAGTGCTTGTTATTTAGGGACCCTGAGATTCATATGATTCATTCCTGCTCTTTTGTGGCTCTCTGTTCCCCTGAAGAAACTCATTCAGCAACTGGGGAAGGATGTCTCCTGTCAGAGAAAGCATCAAGTTGCCCTTTGAATCACTGAGATTCAGTGTGAGAAAAGATGGCGAATGGTATGGGTTTCTTCATTTAAATAAGAAGTGCTTACAGGTCTACAGGGTCAAATCTACTCTTTGGTGGTTCATGAATCTGATGGCTGAAGCCCTAAATTAGCAGACTAAAATGCCCCAAGTCTCCATTTCCTGAGCTTCTGTCCCATAGATCTATAGGGAATCTCCCCTCATCCTGCGTCTGCATAGATGCACACATTTCACGACTCCCGTCTCTCTGTCAGCGTGGTGTCGCCCGATGCAGCATGAGCGGGTGACCCCACTGTACACTTACCCCTCGCCACTCTTCCACTGCTCTAGACCTGGCGGCCACCCCAGTATTTATTTGCACAGAATGGTCCATGGAGACCCCAAACAAGAGCAACAGCTATTCCAACAACAAGAATGCCTTTGTTTGTTGGAAACAAAGATCGGAAAGTGGGCTGTCTCCGGGCGAGCCCCACATGCACCCTACGGAGACGAGGGCTAACAGCACCACCTCCCACAAGAGACGCAGGCCTGCCTGGCCTGTAGTTTGCTAATGTACGTGTGCGTGTTTCTCTCCCTGGCCTCCTGGCCTCATTTAAATAGAGTCTGCAAATCAGTGTTCACATACATAACACTATGCTGCTCCTTGTCCCGTGGCTCTCTGCCCATCAATTATATTTTCTTTCCTTTTTATTAGGATTTATTTATTTATGCACACAAGAACTGGTCAGAGCTGCAGGGGGGTGAGAGGATGCACCAGGACAGAGCTGGGAGCAGAACAGGCGGATTGACTGAAGTACACTGCGGAGGGGAGCAGCGGGAAGACAGGAGAGGTCTGCACACTAAGTGGGCCACTCCCTGGCCGGGGATTGATCTCGTGCTGCAGTGGCGGCAGAGAGCTTTATAGTGCTGCACTTCAACTTGTTGTGCCACCAGGGAGGACCCAATTCTCTTCCTTAAAAAAAAAAAATTGGGCCCTCCCTGGTGGCTGAGCGGGTGAAAGCACAGCATCAAGAAGCTACAGCCACTTCAGCATGAGTTCAATCCCCACCCCAGAGCTGACCCACATGGCCTGCCCGCTGCTCCCCTCAGCAGTTACTTTGTCCATCAGCCTGTTCTGCTCTTCATTCTGTCTCTATTGAATCCTCTCACCGCCCCTGCACCTCTGGCCTGTACCCCAGTTCTGTGTGCATAAATAAATGAATCTTTAAAAAAAAAAAAGAAAGAAAGAAAAGGGTTGCTGAGTGGCAAATTAACTCACTAGTTGCAAACAGCTGTCCACAGCAGCATAGGGTTCTGGGGTGCACACACCTTGGTTAACCTGGGAGACGGTGACTCCAGACCACTCAGCAGCTCAGTGTCATTGGCAAAGACCTCTGCGGTGATGGGCGATTGCTATTTTCTGGCAGGTGGAGACCCCTGTCCTTCCTGCCTGCAGTGGCTGCTTCCAGGATCATTATTGGTGCTGATAGTACTAATTCTAATTCTGGCATTTTGGATCCTCCCAAAGTACAAAGCAAGTAAGTTCTTTGGGAGATTTTCTCTGGGTTTGGGACACAGACGGCTGAGGAGGAAGGAAAAGAAGCATCAGAAATGGGATGCGAAGACGATGCAAGGAGACGGGGAGGAATCAGCAAGGGAAGCACAGAGAACGAGCTTGCGGCGTGGTTCCCGGGTCGGCGCGCCTAGGGGCCCTTCCTCCAGTCAAGGCCTTCCTGTTTGGGCTGCTTGTGGGCGGCTGGCCTGCGCTAACGAGAGGCCACGCTGGCTAGAATGCTCAGCTGCCACTGTCTTGAAATTCTGACGCTATTTTTTAAAATTTATTTTAAAAATGCGGTAAACTAGACACAGT